CAGGATAGGGCGGGCAATTAAGTGCGCATATTTAATTTGGGGGGGGGGGGTAGGGGTGCGGTGAAGGGTTCGTTCCCGTACAACAACTCCCTCTCGCTCCCTCTGGCTCCCTCTGGCTCCCTCTTTGACTGGCGATGGAGGACAGACAGACAGACATCCCACACGAAACAACGCGTTGGTTCCCCCGGGCTCCCCTGGAACACTCCACGGCTGCTTGGCAGCGCAGTCGGGCCTGTTCAGCGGGCACGACTCAGCAGCGACTCCAGTGGGACGACAAGCCAAAAGTGCGCTCGTCCCTTTGGCCCCTGGGGGACCTGATTAAGGTGGAGCCACGCTACATACTGCGACTCTGAGTGGTAACTCTGGCCCGCAGCCGGCCAGAGTGGGACCCGCTAACCTAACAGCCCTGTCGACTCTCTCTCTCTTGACTTTAATTCCTTAACCACTGCTAACTCGCTCAGTCGAGCCCAGATCCCTCATGGCTTCTCTGCTGCCCTCAGCCAACTGCTGGCCCGACCCCAGCCCTGGCGACTCGGTCTTTACGTCCTCAGGCACCTACCGGCCCATTCATTTCCTGCTCCTCATCCTCCTCTAGGGCTGTCCCTCAGGAGCCAAGAAGCAAAGAGTCAAAAAGAGTCAAACCTCAACAGGCTCGAACTTTGCCAGAAAAACCCCTTTTCCCCCGTCTGGACTCCGTTCCATCAGGCAGCTTCCTCTGATTGGGCGCAGATCCTTCAGATGGTTCTGACCCCTCGCGTCCCAAGCCGCTGACTCGCTGACTGGCTCCATGAAGCAATCCCTGTCTGGTTCCTGGCCCTAAATCAAATGGCTCTCTGCGACCTTAATCCCGCGTCTGAACCTTCTATGCCAACACAGGCTAGTTTTGAGCCACTGACAGAATGGGAAATAGTGGGGATATTGATGGGAATGCCCTTTTTCTTTTTTTCTTTTTTTCTTTTTCTTTTTTTCTTTCTCTCTCTCTCTCTCTCTCTCTCTCTCTTCCTTTTATTTGTGGCTCGGAAGGCGGGCGGCTAGGAGAATTAACATGTGGAGAGACGTGTGTTCCGGAGGAGTTCCATAGCTCTGTGCTGTGGAGAATCTATATTATCCATCTTTTTTGTCTGCGAAGGAGCGCCACCGGGAGTTATCTCTTATAATCTGATCAACGCAGCTATCGACTCGTGATCGACTCGAGAGCCGTTTTTCTTGGGAGGTTTTATGTTTCTGACTTTCGAAACACTGTCACCTTCTTAAGCGCAGAACATAAAACATCAACATCACAGCACATACATTGATTAATAATTGCTTATTCCTCCCCTCGCTCAAATGCCGATTATTCCAAGTTTAAATCCGTAGACGATCTGCCACGTTGAAATCAACAGACTATTTTTAAAACTGTCATCTTCTCTGTTTATTCACTTTCCCCCCCCCCCCCCCTTCTTCCCCCTCCCTTTTTGCTGACATGGACCAATAATGCTTCAACCAGGAACCATTAATTGGAAGAACCCGACATTTTATTCTCATATCCCTTACATGGAAGCGCCAGGGGGAGGATTTCCCTTGACCTAGCCTAACCCTCCGATAGAAACATAAGAAATCAGCACGAACCTCCCACGCCTGTGGCCCATGTGCCCGGTCCTACGACCATCTTCAGGATGCGATGCTATTCTTAATTATTATTATCATCCCCACTGGTGTCGGTGGTAATTAGCTGATAATTCAACTCCAGCCTCTCATCCCATCGACCACTCGACGGGGAAAATAAAGATATTGTTGAATGAACTCCAGACATGACCCGAGAAAAGAAATATATCCCCACCCCAAGACAATATCTCTGTCCCCGACTCTGACCGAACACAGGCGAATATATCCTCGCCCAAGGGAAAATGCAAGGCCCCCAATCTTGCGGAGATTTTTTTTTTTTTTTTTTTTTTTTCCATTTCTCACCGTTGCATCCGTTTCACAATCTTGATCGCTCTGTATGTACGTACTCCAGATAAAGGTCCAAGAGGGAGAAGCTCAACTCGCCTAAATCATCTTCAACGGTAGTAGCAGTAGCAAATGAACATGTGCGAACCAAAAAACTACGCAGACTTGGGCAGCGATCTTGAGAAATTGAACTGGTTGCAATATCATCGGCGGCCGCGCCCAGAGGTCCCCAGTGTTGATGGTTGGTCCACATGTCAAGCTTTGATATTCCGAACTCCCTCGCTGGGAGGGGGGTGGGGTTGGTGCGGGATGACGACAGGTTCGTGATGGCGCTGGAGAATTGAGGAATGGAATGGAGATCATTGAACTGGTCGTCTTGTTGGGCTCCTGATCCCTAGGTGTCTGCCTGGTGGTTTCACTCCTGGCAGAAGCAAAAGCAACTGGCAGCAGGAAGGGGGGTCAGGTTAATACTGAGGTTATTTTGTATTTTGAATCTAGATATAGATGTAGATTTATACGGGAAAAAGATGAAATGGAAGGATGAAAACGCAGAGGCCACCCACCCTCTTCTCTTCTCGAATTCAAGACTTTTTTTCTTTCTTTCTTTCTTTCTTTCTTTCTTTCTTTCTTTCTGTCCACTATCAGCACCAACTGTTCGTAATTTCCTTGCCTTGTGTTTGCTATTGTACTCCACGTTCATCTCACCCACAAGGGCAAGGGTATGTCGCTTTCTGCCAGACGCCGAATCGACCCAGGCCTCCCCAAGGGATCCATATCCACGCTCCCCAACAACGCAGTATCTTATTAAATAATTTCGCTTCGCAATCCATGAATAATCTGTTTTCCTTCTCTATCTATATATCATATGACGCGTGCCTGGAACTCCGAAAAGACTAGGGGGCCCGGGGCCTTTGGAGAGGAGATAGATGTTGAAACAGGTAGTATGAATGGAGATGTTCTTTTTCTTTTTCTTTTTTTGTAAGATGAAGTTGAGTTGGGTGGGTTGGATATACTGGCATCAAACGGAATGGAGCCTGCAAATGACTGAGGCCTGCATTGGCCGCCATCTGTCAGTGATGCTATCTATATATACCAAAGGATGCAAGGAGTAATCATGAAATGACCTAAGCTTATTTCATTCCATGTCAACCCTTCCTTTTCATGTTCCTTGAAGCATGTAATTAATTATCCGTGGCTTGCTTGTGCCGAAAACCCTTGTTCGCATTGTTTGAAGGACACCTACGCAGGTGAGAAAGTTATATCTTGCTGACCAGCAAAGCAAGCGATGTTTATTTTCCATCTGTAAAAAAAATTCGCTCATAAGCAAGTGGCCATCCTCTTCTCCTGTCTGCTATCATCTCTACTCTTTGCTCTGGCCATATCCCCATTGGAGGAAGTGGTGAGATTGCCTATGATTCTCGTTCAGCGGAGAGAGGCGGTGTGTGCATTACCAGAATTCGGGCCTTCAACTCGGCACCACGGCCAACATGCACTTTAACTTAGTCTGCCTAGATAAGAGGGGGAAATAGTATACTGGGCATGGGGAGCATCCGCAGAGCTCTGGGTCCATAATATTTGAACGGACAGCAATTAGGAGAAGAGGAAAGAGGGCAAGGGGCAGCACGAAGATGGCAGCAGTAGAAGGGAGCGCGAAGATTTTTACCTATGACATTCTCCCTGCCTGCCCGGTCTAGTCGGCGTTGGCCTGCGGATGACCTCCAGATCTGCCTGATATATGTATGCAAGGCGGCATAAAGGCAGTCGATTGTTTGCTCGCTCTGACCACCACATACTGTTTGGCTCACTGGAGGGGAAATGGTAATATAACGGGGTCATTAAATAGAAAAAAAAACTCCCAATCGCGTAACCATATTATCCTTTTTTTCTCTCAGCTAGCAATTAAAACAAAAAGAAGAAAGGGGACCACAAACTCCGTAAAAATACTCCGTGATAAGGGCAGTGGTACCAGTAACCAGTAACCTGAAAAATAACCAGAGACAAGAGGAGGAAGGGGAGGGGATCTAATCTTCATCCATGGACTCACATCCGTCCTGGTCACGCTCCTCGCCCACCGCAACACCTTCACCATTTTCATCATCGTCCTCTGAATCACTGCTATCATTCTGCGAAATGCCAACCATCCGCTCCTTAACCTCCTCCTGCGCCGAGGGTTCCAACCGCGAAGCAAAAACGCGACGCACAGCAGCATTCGTAGATGTATCCCAAATCTGAACCACCCCTTTACTCCCCGCAACCGCAAGGCGAAAACTGACCTCCTGATCCGGCGCAAATGTCGTAGAGAATACCTTCCCAACCTCAAGTTTCCGCGAAACAACCATGTTTGGTTTATTATCCTGCACATTCCACAGCTTCACCTGCTTGTCGTTGGATCCCGTGACGAGGAAACCAGGGATGGTCGGGTTGACGTCGAAGGACGAGACGGAGGAATCGTGCGCTTGCAACATCCACACAGCCTTGGCCGATTCCTGCCGGGCGTCGTGGCAGTATACCATCCCGCTGTCTGTCGTGACGTAGAAGAAATTGGGATCGTGCGGGTCCCACCGGACGTTCTCGACATCGCTGTCTACCCGCCATCTCGCAACCTTTGCATCGGGAGCTCTCATGTCACCAGCTACGGCGGTCTTATCGTAACTTCCGCTCAAGAGGACCGTTGACTCCTTCGGGTGCCAGTCCAAGGAGCAGATTTTATCTGTGTGGTTTGTGTAAGACTTAGCGCATTTGGTTGTGGTCAGATCCCACAGTTTGACGGTTTGATCTGCCGATGCGGATGCGAGGAGGTTGCGATGCTGCCTGTTCGCTGCCAGAGCAAGGACGGCGTCCACGTGGTAGTCTTCGTTTGCCTTTTTGGACTTTTTCATTTTCTTTTTCGTGCTTGCCTCTGCGTTTTCTTCCCGCCCACCCCGACCCAGGATGGCGTTTGGATACATACAATCCACAATGTCTAGGTCCCAGATTTCGATATCCGGCTCCATCGTGCCAATTGCGACAAAATTTCCGTGTGTTCGGTTTTCAGAGTTCCGACCAACGGGTATATCCAGCCACTCGAGGCACAGTGGGATAGCAGGTAGCATGATATCGTGATGCACATATAAATTATCCGCCTCGTCCTCGTAGACGTATACTTCCATATGCGCAACCTCATCCTCCACCTTCCCCGCTAAGAGAAGATTATCAGTTGGTAGAATTTGTAATTCCTCTCTCTCATCATCATCGTCATCGTCGGCTCCCTCCGGAATGACTAGGTAAGGATCCTCTTCGTTGGGCTGGTGGTACGCAAGCGACTTGACGTTGCCGAACATCGTGACTTGTTCGCCATCCTCATCCACAGGGTCGCTGTCATAATGATCAAGGTCGTACTCTTTTAGGTCATCATCATTAATGCTTTCGTCTTTCTTGCTCCCACTATAAATAACACACACACACACACACACACACACACACGTACATACATTAGCAAGCTGAGCCTTTTCTTGTATTCGGAAAAATGCATACCCCTTTGCCTCTCCTTTTTCCTTCCCCTTTTCTTTCCTGCCTCCCTCCGTAGAATCCCCATCACTCTGATCATCTTCCTCCTTTCCCACATCCATTCGATCCTTGTTGGGATTATCCTGTGCTTGTTTTAGATCTATCTTTGCATCTGCAAGCTGAATCTTTGCTAGCTCCGATATCCGATTGATCTCCGCCTCGTCGATTTCATATTTTTCTGGAAACGGGGCGGCCACACCGCGGCGCACCCATGTAGTTGCTGTTATCATAGACATCTTATCCTTCTTGAAAAAGCCAATTGAATGAAAGGTATTATAATTTAATATTATTGGAATCGTGCTCTTTGCGGAGGTGGTTGGATTGTAGTAAAACACCTCTTTTCGCGCACCCGGTTATGAAAAGAAGAGTAATTCCTTTCCTACAAGAGAACCATAAAAAGATTCCAGGGAATGGAGAAAGCCGAATTAAAAGAGAGCGTCACTCACCATTTGCGCTCCCGTTTGAGTTGATCAACTTCATCCCCAACGCCCTTTTTTTTTTTTTTTTTTTTTTTTTGTTGCGTGAGGGGGCATTTCTCCGCGTACTCACCGCCGGGCAGAATTGTTGCTTGCCTTGGCTCGGCGAAAAACATCGGATGACTGCCGCAGCGGAGAAGCCAACTTCGAGTCAAGACTTCATTCAAACATCAATTTAACCACAGAACACCACAGAACAAGAACATTCCATATCTAGCGATCCCCTAGACAGGCAGAAGCCTCGACGCATAGTCCACTCACAGGCCGTTATTCCTGCCTTAACCGCCAATTTGCACAGTCAATGCCCCCCAAATCATCGACACAACTTCCCATAATTTTCCAAGTTACATAAAACAAAATGCATTCCCACCTGCATACCAAACACAACACAAGTACCGTCCCCTCCCCGCTCTTCCCAACCATTTTAATCCCCCTCTAACCATTGAATTCAGACTGCGAAGAGATCATGACCATGCTCGACGAATGCCATGCGCGGGGGTTCCTACACAAAGCATTGGCCGGCTGCAACGAGATCAAACGGGAAGTGAACCGGTGTCTCGGAAGAGAACGATATAAGCGCGCACAGAAGAATCGGGAGAAGGCTAGGGAGAACAGGAAGCGGATTGAGGAAATTTGGAGGAAGGACGATGAGGCATGATTGGGAGGAATGGTGGGAATGTGGTTGGTTGACTCTGCGTCATATGCGAGATTGAAGTCGGGTTGGCGGCCGGGACTGGGGCAAGGCGGGGAGAGGATCTTTCTTTTGCCTGGGGATGGGTTGTTTTGGCGTTTTTTATCGTGTGTGCTAGCGTACTCTAAGACTCAGATCTGGGTTTTTATAGATCTTGCTTTGGCTTTTTGATGGACTCTCTTCTCCAAGCACAGCCATCATGGGGATGATATGCAGCAAGACTTTCTGCGCAGACATCTCCGGTTGATTACTACCCAACATTTGTATAATTGTATATCAATATCCGTTCATTAATAAGGGTTCTAAATTTCTGCTTGTCAGAGTGCTCCTACATAACTCTTGAAGAAGCCAGGAAAGACTATCAGAAATTGTAAGAAAGTGTATTCTTGCGGGTATCACGACTCAAGAGCAAGGGGCTCATCCGGTTGCGTCACGCCAGCCTCCCCTGCCGTATCCGATTTATGAGATTTATGCCTTCTCTTCCTCTTTGTCTTCCCGGTTGGTTCTCCGCCAACATTCGAAGGCTCCATTTTATCCGCGCCCTTTAAATCGGAAGCAGGATGTTGCTCGACTCCACCAACCCCTCTGTCCTCCTCCCCTTCTCTACCACCATCTCTACTAGTTGGTTTAATCTTGTTCTTCGGCTTCTTCACACTCAGCGGATTAGGTCCCTTAACTTTCTTTGCCTTCTTTTCCTTAACAGTTACAGACCTATCCCCCCCCGCCTCGTCCTCACCATCATCACCCCTCTTCCTCTTCCCTGCCACAATCTTAGTAACCCCAGCCTTGAATTTCCCCCTCTCAACCCCTTCCCTTACTCCCTCCGACGAATTACTCAGCGGCTCTAAAATCATCACAGATCTCTTCACATATATAATGGGAACACCGGGAATCTGCCGTGCCCCTCTCCGCAGGTAATTTGCCGGCGCCTCCTGAGCCGGAGTCGCAGTAGACTTCCATTTCTGCTGCTTACGATTATTACTAGCTGTCGACTCGGAAGCCGGCGACGGGTCCGCAGTGGCCAGGATGTAGTGCTCTTTGTTTTTCTTCAGCTCAGAGCTGGGCGATAGTAGAGAGAGGAGACAGTCGACCTCGTCGATTGTTTTGGATTCTTCGTTGTGGGAGCAGTACCGGAGGGGAAGGATGGTTGGTGGTGGGAGGTGTGGTGGGCGCGTGTTTGGTCTGGAGTTTGGTTGCGGAGGCGACGAAGCCATGACGGTTGCAAGAGAGCATTTTGTAATAACTAAAATAGGTTGTGAGCAGGGTATTTTCTTTTTCCTTTTCCTTTTTCTTTTTTTTTTTTTCTTTTTTTTTCTCTTTTTTTTTTTTTTTTTTTTTTTTTTTTTTTTTTCCCCAACAACGGAGCACGAGGATGGGGAGATGGGCGGTCGCAAAGGCGGAGAAAGTGAAAACATACATGGCTTTACTTTGCCTTGCAACGTTCGTTCGAGAGCAGGCACGAGGTCCATTTTGAAGGAGTATATGGTGCGTAGGAGATTCGAATCCACTGCGCATACGTCAGTTTTCTTGATATACAAATAAACATATATTGGAATACCCCAATACGAGAAACGGACCGAGGACTTGATAGGGCTCGCGGAAGCCAAATGTGAGCTCATATTGGTGCATAAGCTTGCGATACTTCTTTGACCGTTTTGCCCTCATCTTCACAGCTTAACGTGAGCGACTTTGGGGGTGATTGATGTATGATGCATGTATGTACACAGAGCAAGAAACATGCCGACTTCTGGGATATTTCCTAGATAGGAAATCTTTCTCGCCAAGACCATCCGCCCTATTTAGGACTAGCTCCAGGGTTTTCTTCTCAAAACAACTTAGCGTGCCCATTGTTTGGCTTTAACCGCTTTTGACTTTCAGCCCTACCTTGGACACGGTCAACTTCATCTGCTCCATCTAACTATGCATCTTCTGTTTCGCCTTTTGTGCAATCGCTTTGGACAGTAAATATAGAAATCTTGACTCTGCTGTCTAGGGAAATGAAAACAGTTAGCTATCTACATTCAATTGTCGGGTTCGGGACCTCAATGGCAGCTGACATCAGGAGATCATGAAATGGTTTCAGCTACACACAATGAGAACAGATTTACCATGGAAACTTGACAAGCATTGAAATGAGGCGAACGCTCTACCGAGCGAACCTGCTCCGAATAAACTTTGAAAGGAACCACTGGTGCCCATCATACACCTCCGTCTCACCCTAACCCAAGCTGAGGCAGCACGCTTCTAGCAACATACAACGGCGAAACTCCGAGAACCATGGCATCCTGCAACCCACGAGCCAGACACTGTACGATCGCATGTCCCCCTTCTGTCCGGACACGATCCTTATAATCTCTCATATGATATCGACGCGTGTCTCTGTCCAGATACACCAACATATCAACCTTCTCCCCGGTTACTGCAGCCGCAACCGCCATGCATGATTGCCTTTCATTCCCCCGTGCTCCCTCTTCCACAATCGCAGAATCATCCACAGACAAGCACGAGCTGCCCATCTTATTGATGAACCTCCTGCAATGCGCCCGAACACCAACAAGCGCACTATAATAATTCCAACCCGCAACCTCTCCCCCACGTCCAAACACGGCCCCTCGTCCGCCAAGGTCACTTTGCAAAATCTCCCTAACATCCCGCCCAACAACAACCGCCCGTCCAGGAAATAACTTAACAGCCAACACCACCTTCTCATACCTATATCCCTCCGCGCCCTCCCCCCCACAACTGTGCTCATATAACCTCTCCTCATCATCCGAATCAAGCAGATAACAGAGCCCCTCGACCGTTTCGCCGGGATTAGGGATGACGTTTGCTAACCCCTCCTGGCCAATTTGCCAGCGGTGGTCATGTAGGTGGCCGTGGCCTATGTAACGGCTGGAGGGGCAGTGGGAAGCTAGTTCGGAGAGGGAGAGGTGGGTGCCATAGGCGAAATAGAGGGATTGGCATTTTGGTTTGGATGGGCAAGACTCGTTTGGTGTAGGGCGTTGGCTCCGGGGCGGGGAGGGTGGTGGGGATGGTGGGGGGAAGGGAACGGAGTCCGTGAACGGTTTGTGGTTAGTAGACATTTCTTTTCTTTTTTCTTTTTTCTTTTTTCTTTTTTCTTTTTTCTTTTTTTTTCTTTTTTCTTTTTTTTGGTTTTATGTTTTATGTTGTTGGTATGTGGAGCAAGTATCGGAGCAAGTATCAAAGTGTGGAGTTTGCTTGTTGGTGATGTTGATGGAGGGAGAATGTGGATGAGAGCTCAGTTTTATGTTCTGCTGAATGGGATGGTAGAGTGTTGAGGAAGAGGGTGAATAGGGGTGTTGATGAGCCTTGAAGCAGATGGAATTTTCTTCTCCCGTGAATAAAGGTTATTCAGAGGGTTGATAGACAATAAATAGTAGGGAAGGGAAAGATATACTTCAGTTCTTCCAGATGAAGTAAATTTTCATATATATATATATAGAAATTTTATCCGGCAGATTCTTGATACTCTCAGGAATTCCTGCTGGAATAAATATGCTTATTTTTGCTTCATAGAAGATAACACAGATACATTTCATTGCGGAGTGTAACACATCATGCTCAAGCAGAGATGGCAACATGTCCAAGTGGCAAACAGATAAGCATCTTTCATGAAAGAGGGAAACAATATTCAAAATCCCTTGGAGAGCGGACTGGGAAGAGAAGAGATTTTGACTGTTTGCAGCCCAGAGTGCGTATACGCCCCCTACAGAACGGGTGCAGACTCTCCCATAGGCATTCTGTGCTCCCCAGGACACCTGGTCAACACAGCTTCACCTCAGGACCTTATTCCTTGATATCTCCGCCAGCACTTAATGCAGAGGCAAACAAGGGAAGGAAAGAGGACGAGCATATAAAAACAGATTTATGAGTTGGAATTTGTTGGTTGGTTTATTATGTGCCTTCCAAGCAGATACGTATGCATATACGTGACCAAGACTTAATCAAAGCCTTAACTAGTTAATTAAACCTTCATTCAACTGCAGTACAGCAGGAAAAAAGACGTTAAAATCTAGATAAAAATTTCTCTATCTCCAGGTATTGAATCCCATTCGGGAAATAAACGCGTGTCTCTCCATATTCATCACGTTGTGTCGGGCAACGTCATGTTAACAAGATGGCAATGCCAAATCTGAAGGTGTTCGGATAGACAAGGATTCGTTCCCGAATGTTCTTGACACTCGGCATTGTTTGTTGGCGCCTATGGACTCGAAGACGAACTCAGGGACAAGCGTGCGCGATTGCCCGGGATCATGTCTTAACCTGCGTGGTATGGAGGGTTAGCAGGCAAGGATTGGATTACAGAGCAGAAGGGGGGGCTATTACCAAACAAGGCAGACAAATGCTACTCTGACCGGGAACAAGTCCGAGGTGGGTGGGAAGGAATAGAGGACGGCCAGCTTTCGGGAAGATCTAAGTTGGCAATCCTCTCCCCTCAGTACGCTGGGTATCCATATTTCAAAAAACACAGGACACCTTGCTTATTTGTTCCGTTTCATACACATTCCAATAATCACGCTGATATCGTCCATCTTGCCTATAACGCCATCAGCAATGGTTCAAACGCAAAATGTACTCGGGAAGCAGAGGAAACGGAGGCAGCACAAAAAAAAAATCCACATACCCCCTTCAATAGCCAGCCCCTCCTCAATAGCCTTTTCCATATACGGACTTTCCGCAAATGGATCCTGCGCAATAACCTTAGCAGCCTGCAGCAGGCGACGGGCTACATAAACCATCCTCCTGTCTCCATCGGGTGTATTCCCAGCAAACGAATCATCCGCCCTCTTCCCGGATTCCCACTCCTCCAAACTGTCCAAAACAACCTTGAGCACCTCATGTTCCCACAGATTATCCACCACGCCGTCTGACACGGCCACTACAATGTCTCTCTCTTCCAGCTCGACCCGCGTCAACACCGCATGTTCCCGCGGTGTGTCTACGCTATTCGTGCCCAGCTGCATGGGACAGTCGAACCAGTGCCATTGGCCCTCCGTCTTGAAAATAACTCGTTGTTCGCGTGGTCGGACTACCATCACTTGGCAGTCACCCAGGTTTGTTACGTAGAGTATCGGAGCCAGAAACCCATCGTTCATGGTATAGTGTAGCAGGGCTGTGGCGCTCGTCGTGGTGCCCAGCCAATTGTTCGGGTAGGAAGTTGCTTCGATAGTGTGTTCGTAGGCGCGCTGTAGGAGCGAGACGGGATCTGGAGCGGAGTCTCCGGTGACATTCCGCTCCACCTCCAGAGCCCAGAAGTGAAGTATAAGCCTGGACCATAGCCTATAGTTGAATAACATATATTAAAAAAAAATACAATAATTCAGCTTCAGATGTGAGCCTTTTATATTTCTCGTAAGAGATTTGATATATATATATATATATATGCATAAGTTTGTTTTCTTACGCTGCATGGCCCTGCGGCTTTGTTGCCCACGCTCCTACACCGTCGTTGACACCCAGATAATTCTCAGACACAAGAACCGCATCGTCGCCGTTCGTCAGGCCCCTGACTAGCTCACCATTCACCCACGGCCGCCTATCCTGGCTGCGAAAGTGAGTTGTCAGGGGATCGGAGAAGGAAGTCGACGGTATCGAAAGGAAGGGCGGCGGAAAGGGACGGGAAGGCCTCTTGGGGCACAGGGCATAACCTGTTTCGAAGCGGAATGGGAAGTTCGAGAGAGGAGGGGGATCCCTGTGGGATTCCGCTGTGTCCGTTGTGATGCCGTAGGTCGGTGCGGCGGCTCTGTAGCTGACGAGGGTGCGGCGGAAGAGGCATGCTGCTTGTCGTCTGTAGGAGAGAATGGATGGAGAAATGGAAGAAAAGGAAGAAGAGCGCTGGGGGGGGAAGAAGAGATTAAAGACCATGCCAGCGTAGGAGTGATTCGCCTGGGCCGCGCATAGGAGAGGGGTTCGTTAGCACATCCTGTGGAGGAGTGGATGTACGGTAGATGATATGATGTAAATACTAGGTGCCGGTGAAGGGATGGACAGTTCAGAGACGGAGATGGTCAGAGGGGTAACAAGGGCTGACACAGCATAGATAAATAGGCGGAGCCCATGCACCGCCCCGTGTGGCCGGGCATGAACTGATCAACCAACGCGAGTTAGCTAAATACTTGTTTCATTAACGTATTTCCGGTGGGGATGTTCAACTAATTGCTAGATTCAAAATATTATTCGACCAATGTACACGGAGTAGGTTACTGAATAAACATGATAGAGTAAACTACACCAGATGAAGCAGTTATATTTATTCCCAATAAAAATGACAATCGCTGGTTGCTCCGTAAATCGCTGCGAACTTTGCCGCAGAATTGCTGTAGAGATTGCTGTAGAATTGCAGACGTTCGACCCAGCGACCTGCTCTGTACTCACCCCGTAGACCCGTTGTTACTCTCTCCACGGTTCCAGTGTCGAGATTCAAGCTGCCATCCATGGATAGGTCTCTCCTACTCAAACCGAGGTGGTAGCGCATTCCACAGCCAATACAAACACCTGCCTTGCTAGCTGTATAAATAGATCGGATGTCCTCTTAGGACCTATCTATATACGGAGTAGTTATATTGTTGTTATGATGTTGCCTGTAAACGGGCAATGAAGTTGAAGTAAATATGTATACCCGATTCGTCAAATACACCTCAACGTCATCCATCCATTCCATCATCCTAAGCTGATGCAGAGACAATGTAGGCCTCAAAATACTCGTCTGTGCCTGTTTAGTGCACACGATCCCCTCAAAAGAAATTCCAGGAAAATGCGTAAAACACGAATGACGAGATTGCAAAAGGGGGGGGGGGAATACGAATCTCCCCTTTCAGCACAGGAGGCCAGGTCCCGTTCAATTTTGGCCATCTCAATTGAACCTATAGCTGATCATTGGAAATACATATATATCCAGCAGCCATAGGTTTCAGTGGAGAAGCCCTTCGCCTGGTTAACTATTCGATTACTCGCCTGCTTTCCCTTCGCTTGTTATCGTTATGATTATTTATGACGTTGCTTCAATGCTGCAGATAATAAATAAATGGAGGGGTAACATCAAGTCCAATGGCAGAAGCATGGGGATTTAAAAACCCAGGGCATCATGCTGAGTAGTTAGAATCGTCAAGATGGCGGGGGAGTTGGGGGTTTTCTTGGAAACGGCATTGGCAAGCGCCTTTCAGCATGCGGATTGGGATTCTGCCGGGCGATTGTTTCCGGGGAGATAGTTAACTATTTGGATTGGGCGTTGTGTAGAAAGGTGAGGATGAAAAGGGGCGAGGTAATTCTCTAATAATAAAGTCAGAACAATAATGAAAGTAGTTTTAGATGTTGATTGAGCTTTGGCCAGAGATTGGAGCTGTGTGAATAAAAAAAAATTGATAACTTAAATTGGATTTACCAAATTTCCATCAACTTCTTATTTCGAACCTCGTACTGTAAGTGGAAGCTCACTATGACGAGACAACCATTCCGACTCTGATTTCCCATTTCCCATTTCTATCCCATCTCACCTTGTCATTGACGTCGTAAATCGTAAAATAAAATCACAAGAAGTGAAAAGCAAATGTACAGCGAAAGAGGTACTAACATCCCCATAAACCGTAACCTCTTTCCTCCCATGTTCATGTTCACGGACGTCCCCTAAAGTAAGCACAGTGCATAAACCCATTAAAAAGAAATAAAATGAAGAAGAAAGAACGAAAAAGAGAACGAAAAAGAGAACGAAAAAGAGAGAAAGATACAACCGAATCCCACCTTTTCAAAGAACATGCACCCCACCTTTCTCATATCTACAAGCCTCCTCCTTCCTTACATCATCATCATCATTTCCTCACGACGCGCCAACACCTCCTGATGAAAAGCCCCAACACTCTTCTTAATCTGAATATAAACTTCGAAGAAGGTCATATCCGGCCCCACACGAACAGTACACAACCCATCAGCCAACTCACGTGCCAAATCCGCACAGTGCTCGGAGAAAAACCGCATCGAATCCGTTACAACCGGTTTCTTATCAAACACGTCAATGTCGTCGTCGTCGTCGTCGTCGTCGTCGTCGTCGGAGAGATCGCTCAGGCGAGCACTGCAGGGGCAGACCGGGGCTTCCTTGACGGTGCACTTGCGGGAGCAGGCGCAGTGGCCCAGACAAACGCAAAGCTGGTCGCGGACGTATCCGTGCAGGGATCGTTTTCCCTGGAAACGTCTGAACTCGCCGACGGAGATGCCTTCGAGTCTGGCGTAGGCGGCTTCGCGGTTTGCTTCGATGTAGCGGTGCTTGGGGAGGAGGCGGTCTGTGGAGCTTGCGGAGGAGGTGGAGGAGGTGGTGGTGGAGGAGGAGGAGGTGAAGGAGAAGTTGGAGCTGCTGGTTGAGATGCTGTGGTTGTGTTTTGTAGATGCTGGGTGGGTTGAGCTGTTTGTATCTGCGCCTGTGGCGAGGGCGTAGTAGAAGCCGTGATTGCTGCGACTGTTGCTGTTGCTGTTGCTGTTGCGGTTGCGGTTGCAGTTGCTAGAGTTCCTTTGGCTTGTGAAACGGAGATATTTCTCTGACATCGTCGCGAGAATCATGCAGGGTGCGTAGTTATACATTGGATCTAGGCCGGTCCACTCCTTTTCGGACAGAGATTCGCGAGAAGATACGACCCGCTCGATATATCCGCGATAAACTCGCAAGTCATCCAGATGGCAATTAACGCCCAGGTTGTTTGCGGCATAGACTTCGATGACTCTCTCCACATAAGCCATTTGCTTCTTGTGGATGAGCTCTCTGTCGAGAAGGCCGCAGATGTCATCTGATTTCAACAGGCGTTTGCATGCCTGGAAAATCATGTGGACGCGGGTGGTGTTCGGGAGGTACTTTCCAACAATAAAAGGGGCCAGAGTGCGTCCGTTGCGCATAAGCTCTATATCGCCACTGGCGCCACGCTGGAAACTCTCGCAAAACTGCACGTTGGAGATCTCGATATTCAGGTGTGCATTGAGGATATAGAAGAGATCTTCGATGGTCTCGAGAAGACGAGGGATGGAGTCCTGTGTCATTTGAGCCTCGACTTGGTCGACGTGGTATTTAATGCTAGTGGATCCGTCGTCCATCTGTCCCATATACAAGGTTAGCTATGTACTGCATCTGCGGTCGTTCTACTGCGAGGAGGGAATTTTTTGGCATTTGCTTTACCTCGACTGCAAACGACGTCAAGACAGCAAGGAAGAGCTTGGCGACGGCATAAATCTTGGAATACATCACCAAGATGCGGTCACGTCTCTCGTTCGCCTTCTTTTCGCGCGCTGTATCATGGACGGGATCGTATGTCATTGGCAGCAGTAGCTGCTGGTCATCTCCTGCCATCATGGGAGCGACTTTCAATTCCTGCATAGTGCTAGTGCTAGAAACTGGAAGGGCTTGGGCAGTTTGGGATATAAGGAGAAATAGGGGTTGAAAGATAGAGTGAAAGGAGAGATAGAATTTGCAGTGCAGTATAAAACGAATGAAGGGAATTGGATTTCGAGAGCTTTGATTCTTTCTTGGTAGGCCGTCCTTGTAGTAAGCGGAATGAGAACAAATATGAGCTTTGTGAGAGAAAGAAAAGAAGAAGAAGGGGAAATGAGCGGGGCCTCTCTGGAGCGGGCAATAAGAGCGGGGGAGGCAGTGACTCCCGCCCATTGTCTCCCAGCCCCATTGAGTATAGGAAGTGTTGCATATTTGAATATTCACCCATTTTGTTGACAGCTGAGGTCCCTGGAGTTCTAGAGCTCATAAGTTGTTCACAAAAAATGTTGGGGGGGGAGGGGGAGGGGGGAGGCTGGTTGGAAGTGAATGGAGTGAAGATACCTACACCAATTTCTCCGCTCCGCCATATATTTGCGAAGGCGAGAGTGGCGCAAAGAGCTTTCATTCCCCTTCTATTGTGACAAGGTTGCTCTGTACAAGTGCATTTATATATAATGCCCTTTGTACTTAACTCGAAAGTGGGGCGGGTATAATACTACCTAGCTCTCCTGTATGAATGACCAGCAAGCCTCCCTCTGCCAATTTTTGTTGAATGATGATTGGCAGACAATAGGCAGCGTTAATAGCCATCGGGCCATTGACTCTTGCTCTTATTGATATATCATTCACAGTTCATTGAATTGAATGCTGGGAGATTTTCCTTTTTCTTTTCCCTGTTTTTTTTAAAAGGGGGGGGGGGGCAGTGTATGATAACGATCTCTCTCTGCAGAGAAGACTCCGTCACCCTAGGGAACGAAAGAAGATGCCCAACTGTTTGGCTAACGCGCACTCCACTGGTCCCCGGATAGGGCAGTGAGTCCGAGCAAAAGAATACCAAGCAATACACAGATAGATAATGTAACAATGAGGGAGTTTTGTATCCTTGGAAGGCACTGCTGCTTTTCCAATCTCAAACAGACCAATCCCCTCACTTGTAATAAGGTGAGAAGATGTGGGAGTGATGGGTATTAGGACGCTTGTTCAACTCGGGAGGCAATGGTAATAATCTAGAGCATAAGCCTATCTTAACTATCATATAAGGGGGAATGGGGGTAGTAAACTATCTGTAGTCGTGTTCTCGAATGCAAAAGAAATTTTACCTGTCGACGATATAAGAGCTCGCCATTTTGTAAGATCTGGCAAGGAATTATTCTTGCATATAGTCAGCCAATCCGGTAAATCGGGGGTTCGCAGCATCATTCCAAAAAGGAATAGAGATAACGGGTAGCAAAAGTCATTGAATATAAACATTATCCATACGTAAATCATATGTACGGTACGAGATGAAAGGGGTCAAGAAAATAGGAAACCTGGCAAACGATTCCAAGAATAAATATGACCTTCAAAGAGCCGCCGCCACCCAGTTTGAATCATGGCCGGACAAATTAAAAAGAACATGGGCATAAAAAGGGGGAAAGCGAGAAGTCGCATAAATATGTGCTTTTTTTAAGGATAAAGAAATGGGAGGCAGCGATATAATTGAGGCATAAGGACCGTGACAAGGGCTCGCTATTAGATATCGCACTCCATGTCTCACCATAAGAAACCATTCACAAAAATCGTTAAAGAAAGTTCAAAGTATAAACAATATAAATGAAATGTATACAGCAAAGAAGAAAATATAAAAAGATAAGATGAAGGTGGAGAAGATATATTAGTCAGGATTAGGCAAGAAAACAAGACTGGACCGCCCATTCAGTAAATCATGGTTGAAAGACAAAAGGAAGGGAATCATAAACGAGAGTAAAACGAACAAGGTAAGCTCCGGTAAACTACGTTCAAATAGTGGGTTATCGCAGTTAACCCTTCTCGACCTTCTCTTCTGCTTTTTCGCTCTCCTTTGCCTTCCCGTCACTCCCGGTGTACTCCAGCAGCCTCGACTCGGTCAGCTTCAGCTTCTCCTTGGTTTCCGAGAGTTCCTGCTGCAGCGACTTAATATAAATAATCGCTAACTCAACCGTGCTCGCCTTGCTGATCGATTGCGTTGAATTCGATTTCTCAGGCGTTTTGGTGCTGGTGGTTGTGCCGCCGTTCGCTCCGTCACCATCACCACCACTACCACCAGCTTTGTCGGCCTTTTCCCTCTCCCGGATTAGTACAGGTGGTAATAAGCCTTCGATCTCCTTGAGTGCAGTATTGATACGATTTCGACGTCCCTGCTCAGCTAGTTTATGGTTTGTGCGCTTTGAACTTAGGTTTTCGGCCAATGCATTTGGATACGATACGCCTGGTAGAAGGGTGCCTTCAATGATGTGTTGGTAGTTGGATTTGGAGGCGAGGTAGAGAGCTGAAGTTTCAGGAGTCATATTCAGGACTATTTCCAGTCGTAAAGATTTAATAACTTAGCCATTAGGATTACGATACGGGGGGGTGGGGGGAAAAGGTGTTGAAGACTTACCATCGCCGCGAATTAAGGGTTGAATACTAGGGCTGATTTTTGGTCGCAATGCAGGACTAACTTGGGAGGAACTAATGCTTGATCGCTTCTTCGATATCCTCCCGTTCAGTTTCGAATCGACCCTCTTGATCCCAACTGGTCCAGTTGGGGATGGCATGGCCCCGACCTGTGGGCTTGGTGCAGAAGCAATAGCTGGGAGATCCGAGGAACCACTATTCATGGGTTTTAACTTTGGCGTCTGGTTGGCTGAGAGCGTGGGAGTAGCCTCAGGATTTGTCACGATTGTACCAGAAGAAGCGGTAGCGAGCTCAGAATTGGATGATGCCGCTTCGGGCAATAAGATATCCTCCATCATCTCGTCGGCGTATTCGTTAACAACGACACCTCCGCTTCTCGAGAAGTGTGCCCCAGAGTTTTGCACTGGCTGCGGTTGACTCTGTAATTTCATCAGGGTAGCAGGGGTTGCGGCTTCCCTGGCTATCGCCTCAGATATTGATTCTTGCGCGCCCAAGCCTGGAGATTTCACAGAGCGCGGGAGCGCAGGAGGGGGCATCAACGGCTCTGATAGCGGTTCCGGAGAAACAGAATCCTGCCCAGAACTTTCAGTGCTTCCTGGATGATGATACCCATCCATCGGATTCGCTGGCAGTCTACTTGAAGACTTCTCACGGTTTGCAGGGTAGAAGCTCTCTTCTGAAGGAACAGCTGAATTGGAGTACGTCTTTCGTCGGCTAAGGGGGCGAACTGAAGGGGATTGTCGAACAAAGCGCGCAGGTGCTCGAGTCGGAAAGGACTGTTTTCGTCGTGGTTTCCGCGAAAAGACGGGAGATGATGGAGCTGAGGAAGATGGAAGGTGATTAGTAGCGTCTACCGGCGAAGAAACAAACCCCAGATCTGGGGCCTGGCTGGTGGCCCCATTGAAGAGATAGTTATTACTATTTGCGTTCCCCGCTTCGAGTGCGGGAGATGTAAGGGGGGTAAAATATTCGCCAGGGACAGTATATTCGGGAAGGCGAAATTGCTGATCCAAGGGCGTCATTGCAGGTGAAAGCGACGGGGTGAAAGCGCTCTATCCAATTTGTTAGCATCTTGTATCTATCGCATGAAAACTAGATCTTTCTTTCGTTCCTCCTCTCTTCCCCTTCCTTTTTTGCCAACTTGCGCAATGCTCGCGTCGTTTCTTCATACCTGGTCATCAGCAGCCCTCGGGTAATGCTCGTAATGCCGCCGGTTACCAGTGTCCAACCTGGCGAGTCCATTCGGAACCCCAACGTGCATCTCGGCGCTGTTTGGCGTTGGAGGAATGTATGGAACTTGACCATAATTCTGAGGGAGGAAGTTTACTTGTTTCTGGACGTAGTACTGCGGCTCTACATGACCGTTTGTCGTATTTATGCCTTGAACGCCCATCGTGTGGTGCAGTTGATGCAGTGCAGGTTGGTAATTCGGGGCTTGAGATATACCCTGCATATGCGGGTGGGGTGCCGCCATCCTGGGTGGCTGAATATCCTGCATCGCGGTCGAAACAGCAGGGCTGGAAGCGTTAACGGTATTGTGCGGCTGGTTTGCAACTTCATCCAATTCCGCAAAGTTGAAGTCGAAATCCAAGTACTTGGAAAACTCCTCCTCTCCAGAGACGGGAACTAGGAGGTCTCCGTTCAGATGCTCCGGCCAAGTCGACAATGAGGGGTCTATCTCTTTCGCCATAGTTGCAAATTCTTGACTGCTTCAGGCCTGCGATGAGATTGAGAAGAATAGGGAGACGACCACAGACGAGATAGGAGACAACTGGCGTACGGTACGGAGGGATCAGATGTGCGTGCGGCTTGGCCCGGGGGAGAAGGGAGGAGGAGGGAGGAGGAGGAGGAGGAGGGGGGTTGGAAGGGGGAAGGGGGAAGGGTGAGCCGCAGGTGGCTGCAGCGGGGAACCGAGAACTCGGAACTACTCTTTGGATCAGGTTCGTAGCCGACAAAAATAGGTCACGGATACGGGGGAAGTTTTGGGGGGAATTCAAAGATTGGGTCAATCACAAAAAAAAAAAAAAAAACAAAAGAGCAAACAACGGGCGAGAGGTTGCTGGCTGATATCAAGTCATGACGAGTTTGGCGGTGGTGGGCTTGTTTAATGGGGATGGACGTCGTCGGGAATGGGGAAATGGGGGGTGGGGAGTAAGTGGGAGGAGTAAGTGGGAGGAGGGAAGTAAGTGGGAGGGAGCATGTCGGTGGTTTATGCGTGGGGGCGGGGATAGACATCGCCCGCCGTGATTGGCTGGCACGGGGTTTAATCATGTCACGTGACTCTGTGACTTCAGATCCCACGAATGAACTAGCTATTAACTAACTCTTTGCGGGGGCCCCCCCCCCAAGACGACGGAGGTAAGTGAGGTGGTATATTATTCCGCCGAGAATTTGAGTTAAACTATCTACGTGGGAGGATTGCTGACAACTCTAGAGCTTCTCTTTGGTTAACTGGTTGGTTGAGTATCAACACCTTAATTACTAAGAATTATTGGCATTCTCTTGCTTCGAGAAGACGGTGGAGGTTATTTCTTGGTTCGCCTGTCGGTCTCTTCAAGTGCTGTCACTTGAAGCAAAATGCTGGGTGGGTGTGGTACCAGTTTCAACCAATACCCACCACTGTCCCACTAACCTCATCCAGATGCCCGATATCTCCCCTGTCTATCTTAACTTTCCAAATCGTCCAAACCGATCTGGACCTTTCTTTCCATTCAGACTGCATGCTTCAAGGGCTGGGATCATCCTTTATCCATGGATGATGCATTTCTTAACCCGCAAATCCCACTGCCCGGATAATATCTATAGAAGATAGAAGAATAATTAAAATGCTGCCGCAAGAGTAACAAACCCCAGCCCGGTCCCCCCCCCCCCCCCCCCCATGCCTGTCTAGCTTCCTCTGCCAGCCCACCACCATCCCGTCAGCCGACTCTCCATACAAGTTAGCGGCACCTCTGTCGAACGTTTTCTCGGTTTCTGTGCATGAAAAACGGCAGGGATGCGTGGGGTAAAATATTCATGGATGGTAATCGCGTGGTGGCGGGGGCGTCGGTTTTTCGCGTCCACACAAGCGTCGAAATGGGATCTTGGTTCATCCAATGTTATCGTGGGGCAGTTAATGCGAGAGCAACCAACAATGCTAAGGGCCTGCATGCGTCTTTGTCACTTGTTGGACTTTTTTTTTTTTAAAAAAAAAAAAAAAAAAAAAAAAAAAAAAAAAAAAGACATTTTATGCCTGGACCGCTCTAAGCGCACGAACCCCCGTCAAGTGAGCAATTCTAGCGCCCCTAATAAAAAGAGAGCGGGTCCTGTCAGTTTGATTTAATAATTTCCTTTGGTTCTTCAAATGATGTTTGAGGCTTGCAGATCACAACAAACCCCAAGAGTGTTCATGATGTCGATCTTCGGGAAGCGTTGACCTTCGGGTAGATAGGGGAGGGGCGGCATGTACATACATATATATATACATAGCGTGGGAGACGGATTCGGACAATGTAAACGGCTTTGAGGAAAGACGGGACAGAGTCATAGAAAATAAGAAAGTTAAAGAGAAAGTGCCCACAGAATTTATTATAAGAGAATTTATTATACGACTCTTCTCTTGGAATCTCGGGATTGGAAATTATCATCGTCGATATACGGTTAACTAGACAAAGGCTTCAAACCCTTTTTGTGGAAACATCACAGAATGGGCGAGGTGTGTGAAAATGGGTACAGTTATCACAGCGGCATCAAAAAGCAAAATAAGCAGTCGTAGGAGCCGTTTCCATCGACGGACGGATTAAACTGAAATGCAATGCCCGTCAAAAAATTTAATAATGGCAATGCTTGATGATACCCGTTGTCCAACAATGCAGTTACGTCCGTACACACATTTCCAATATTTGAACAAGCTCTGGGAAATGCATGAGATATGCTCCACATTTTGAAAACAGTATCATGAGTGAAAAGCTTGACTTGTTAATATATTTTTCCTTGGAAAACCTCGCATTAAAAATTATTATGTATATACGGTTGCCCTCTGGGTAGGAGGAATAATACCAGAAAGAAAATGGGGGGAGTTACCCAGAATTACTCCCTTTTCCGTATCCTGAGAATAGAAACATATATACAAATTATCATCACACAGGTAAATTCCGCAGTTGCAAAAACCCAAGCACCCCTCTCTGCAATACCCGCATGGACAGGCTCCGTATTAAGGATATCCCCACCTCCTCACAATTTGACACAGCATGTCCAGCAATCGAGCTGCATAGTGCCATTCAATCGTTAGTGAGAAATCGCTTATTTTTGATATGATCCGATGCGGGAAGGTTCTAATTTTGACCCCAACAAAAGAAAGACAGGCGTTGGAGCGTTGGGCAACAGATTGTAGCGTAAGGCTGGAGCTATGAGACTGATTGATGGATGGGCGGATGGAAGGGTAACATGTTCTTAAGAGAAATAGCCTAGCTGGCAAAGAGACGTGGTACGTACGTGTCCGGTTGTTGGCCGGTTTTTTGCATACTAGACCCGTGTGAGAAGAGGGAGGGAGAGTGTTGTTAGCAATGGAAGTATTGGGTTATGTTGACAGGCTGACTGCAACACCATGTCAAGTGTTGAAAGAGGACTGTAGTGAAAAGAGGATGTGGAGGCGGTAGGGGGTTGGGAGGGAGGGGTACTGGGTAGTCAATGGATAAACATATATATGCATGTATGTGCATACCACACCGCGCCCATTGCACCTTGGTTCCATAGGATAACATCTCCGCAGACATCTTTCGTGTAGGACCACTTTGGTCCCTTGAAGTTGCTGAACCTCTTGTGTGTCTAGCGATTCTTGCGATGTCTGCGCCTGCTCCACCCCGGACGGGGGAGCAATCGCAATTGTCCCGAGGAGGGTGAACGTCAGCGTTACGAGGTTGTACAACTGCATAATTACGATTGGGTTCGTGATTTGGTAGAGATGGGATTTTTCTCTGGGACTGGGATGAGGGAATAGCCCCCGGGGGGGGGGGAAGAGGAAGGGGTGAGTGGTGTTCCATGTACGGTATGGGAAGAGGAATTGAGTTGTATGCAATGGGAGGAGTTTTTGAACCGTTAATTTTTGCCCTCCATTCTCTCCTGGTTTATATCCATTGAGGTCTGAGAGAATGCCGGGAAAAGTAAGTGGGCAGGCGAAACATTTATATAGATATTTGTTTGATATAGGCATCATACGTAATCAAGACGAAAAAGGGCGTTTGACAGACGGAAAACACGGAGACACTGACACTCCCAATTGCACATCACTGGTCCTAGGTTTCAATGGCTGAGGCATGTGGCATATGGATGCGACACATCCAGTGGGACGGCGCCACAGTTATTTCTCGAAATCAGGGATGGAAAGAGACGGAACTGATTCATTCATCGACGGCAGCTTTCGGTTCCACGTTCCACCGCATTTTACCAAAATGAATTTGGTTAAACTGGGGAGGGTGGCAGAGATCAAGCTGGGTGAAATCATGCGCATAATCTTAGCAGCACGCTTTCATTCTGTGCAGCAAAAGCGATGAACATGTTTTCATCTGAGGCCTGGGAATTCGAATAAGGAAATAGTCAGAAGCACACATTGGCAATCACCTCCAATTGCCCATGAAAAGAAGGGGGGAAAAAGAAAAAATGGCCAAAATGATTACGGGGTGCTGCTGTTGAACTTGGCACCAAACACAGGAGTATCTATATTCCAACGTTATGGAATATATAACAACGTAGCTTGAGGCCTGAATGAGCCAGGAGGGTAAAAAGCGTAGTGGACAAACACTCGACCTAAAATGTGTATATATATATATATATATATATATTCAGGGTAGGGGCCCCCGAAGCTGAATGTCGAAGTTCCTGATTTCGACGTGGTATTCCCGAGATAGTCCAGAAGGCGGCAAGGAGGAATGCAGTGAATTTGCCGTCTATAGATGGCTTGTTGGTAGCAATGCTATCACTCTCAACGCTGGTATTTCGACGACGAGAGAAAGAAACACGCGTTTCAGCTTCACTGAAGGGTAGTTACTAGAGTAACCAACTAATTACTCCTGTGAAGTTGAACAGGTTGGTTGTGGCATGCAAATATCACTATCAAATTTCCGGGTGCTTAAGCATTTACAGGTACATGGCTGGGGCAGACGATTGAAATAAAGATCAAACAGTCGTTGAATGCCATTCGTTTATTCGTTTAGGGGGGGGGGGGGGGGGGGCCCCCTTTGCGGGGGGGGGGGGGGGGCCAATAGGGGGTGTTTTGGCACCAAACAAGGCTCTGGCTTGGCAGCTGTGGAGATATCCAGATAACTACTACATGGTTGGGACGAGAACTAGCAGACTGTTTCAGAGAGAATAAATAAAAGTAGGCAATTGGATAGCGAGCTTTTGGAGGATGATGCGGTCATACCACCCGGTAAGATGGAAATCTCCCCTGAGAAAGAAACACTAAATAATGGAGTAACATATTGCAAATGATCTGGATCTAATTTTATCGTTTGAGGGTAACGTCATAACTGAGGCTAGGTGGCTAAAACTAACACCTTAAGTTAATTGCTGCCACGCCCAACCAGCCCCCAAACGTCAGTCAGCTGGTACTTTTGCGACAACTCAACAGCAACGTGGAGAGTATTTGGTTGGCGGTTCTACCTCTGCAGCTTACTGCACCTACAACTTCTTCACTCTCCTCTCCATGGTCTGATATCTCCCACTCAGATGTAGCTGTTCAAGTCCCATCCCATCCTATCCTGCATACTCGTCTGCCCCCGCTCGCCAGCCATGCGCCCCGCTGTCCCGGACGCTTTCCTCCCTCGACCCCGCAAGTCCCCCTCCCCAGGCGCAGCGGAGGACCATCCCCGCCACTCTCCACCGGAAACGTTCTTCCTAGCTCGAGACAGCGATATACAAGATTCCCAGACTGCCCCAACATCCGGAGCTGAAACTGAAGACGGTACATATGACGTACGGAGCCTCGAGGAATTTCTACTCGAAGAACCACACGTTGATTCTCCTCCTGCCAGGGCCGGCGGCGGCCCTATCAAATGGCCGGATTCCCAACTTGAAAAGGAAACAGACGGCGGACCAACTCTGCACATTCCAAGGAAAATGCCAGCAACGAAACCCATCGAGTCCAGTGATGGAGATCATGAAGGGCTGAATCCGTCAGTACCCAGTTCTCTTCCACTAACACCTTATTCACCCAATTCCCCGATCGAATCCTTTTCCCTCCAAAGCAGCCCCAAGTCAATGTCGATGCGATCCTTTCGTCAAGCTGATGGAATAAGCACACATGATGGCGGGAACAGGCGTTCAACTGGTGCGGCGGAAACTGAAAGTGGCAGCTGTCTCCTCGAGTCGTCGGAGGTACAGGATAGTACTCCGCAGCTGATAATGCCAAGTATCAAAATGCCCAGCCGGCGGCCATTCACGGAAAAGGGAAAGTCTATTGGCAAGTTCAAGATACTCATTGCGGGTGCCGCTGGTGAGTAAACTGCGTTCGAGCCTGGAAAAAGGAATCTGCCTTGTTTTCCTAGAAACGACGTCGCTAATAAAAAGCTTCCACTGCAGGTTCCGGGAAAACGTCTCTCATAAAATCCATCGTCCAGATCTTTGAAGATATAGTGCATGTCGACCCGCTACCTCGCCGTCCGTCGCGGCTAGATGCTGGGCGAGCAAGCAGTAAGCCGGGCTCCAAACGATTGTCCCGAACCCACCACCATAACCGAGAGTCCACGTCGCTTGTGGAGATATATGCCAGCACCAAGCCATACCCGTCGTGGTGGTCAGATCTTGAAGATTCAAGGGTTCTCCGGAGGAGGAAAAGCATGGGGGATTTCGTATTGGAGAGGAACCTGTGTTTTGTTGATACCACCAGTGGAACATTGGGTCTGCTGGATCAGGCTGAGTGTATCGTGCAGTATCTCGGCCAGCAGTTTCAAAGGGCTGTGACGGCTTTGGATTCAATGAACTCGGATTTCCTGGGCCTGCTGAGTGGAAATGGCGGTTCCCAGGTGGATGCCATATTGTATCTTGTTTCAGAAGGTACGTAGTATACACGACACACATCTGTCGTGTGACATTTTTGCTGGTTTTAGAATCGTGATCTCTGATGGTTTCTGTAGATTCCTTTGCGGCCGACATAGCATGCATACGGAAGCTATCAACATACGCCAACGTGATCCCCTTAATTGCCAAGGCAGATCTCCTCTCCGAAACTGAGATCCAGCAACTAAAACGCTCATTCCTCTCTCAGGCCCAGGAAGCCGACGTTCGCCCCTTTCTGTTCGGAGATTCTACAGCTGCACATGAAGGCGATGAAGCTGCTACCACGACCACAACCACCCCGTCCTTACCATTTGCAGTCTCATCCGCAAATTCCCACGACGATGATAACATGGATGCAAGCCTTCTGATGAGCCCCGAATACGTCCAGCCACTATTCCCCTCCGAGCTAAACCTCCTCATAGAAAACCTATTCGACAGAGACAACTTATCCTGGCTCCGCCACCTCGCCACGAAAAAGCTCATCCAATCCTTCCCCCACCCCCACCGACCCCTCAACAGCCCGCAAACCACACCTCCCCGCCCCTCCCAAATCCAAACCCAATCCCTAACCTCCCCATCAACAATCCCCTCCCAGTCCTCCCCCTTCACCTCCCCGCTCTCCTCCATCTCCCCCTCCCAAGTCCTCATCCCTTACCCGTCCCTCTGCCCCTGCCCCTACCCCTCAACCTCCACTCCCTCCGCCGCCGGGGCCCCCTCCTACACCCTCTCCCGCCTCTCCGACCACACCCAGCGCGAAGAACACCTTGCCCAGCTCCGCCTAGCAAAATGGGCCGCGGACCTGCAACAGAGCCTCCAAAACGAACGAGAGCGCTACGAGACACTCGCGCGTAGCGAAGCGGGCCGTGTGGCATTCGTATGCGGCTGGTGATATCGTGGCGGATTGCACTGCTAGTCTCGATATCGCGGACACCGCGGTTTGGGGTCCCGTGTGGCAGCTGTAATTCCTTGTCAGGGAAGAGGAAGGGGATGGGGAAGGGGGGTGAAGATGGAGATGGAGGGGGGGGCGGGAGTCAGGGTAGGGGTGCGGGGGGAGGAGAGATGGTTACGGTTTACGGGCCTGATGGGCGGCGGCGGGTTGGGGGCTATCAGGTGCATGCGGGCGGGGATGTGATGAGAGCGATGGATCCGCTGGGGTTGATTGGGTGGAACGACGAGGTGAGGCAGCGGGGGTGGGTGGTTGTGCGGGTTTTGGGGGGTGTGGGTGTTTGTGGCGGGATTGCGTTGTGGGTTGTCAGGGGGTGGAATGTTGGGTGGTTTGGCTGGGGGTGAGAGATTGGGTTGACTGGGTGTTGGGATAGTGGTGGTCTGTCTGCTGATGTTGGCTGGCGTTGATATGAATCTATAACCTATGTGCGGTTGGGGCGGGTGTGGGTTTTGTTCTTTGGGATGCCTCATCTAACTACTATCACGACAAGGGCTCATGCTTTGGTATGCCCTCAATATTCATTACTTCTTTTTAATATACACTACCAAGTGTATTGAACTGCCTTTTATCTTTGCTCTGTTCACTCTTCTTTTTTTTTTTTTTTTTTTTTTTCAGTGTGTATATGAGTGTGTGTCTTATGGAACCCCTGCCCTCTGGCATAACTTGCCTCGATCATATATATATCATCTCACTGTACTCTCTGCCTATATCATACAGCCCATACATATAGAGAATAGAGTTGTCAGTTTAGTTTTTCATTTATTCCACTATAATTACTCTCTACCTCCATCTCCATCTCCACTTGCATATTGGTATGCGCCTCTAATTGCTCTATATATATGGTTAGTAACCACGTCCTGCATAAGTGTATATGCGGGCCTGCTGGCTGTGCCCATTGCTATGCGATCTGCCATCTGTGATCCGTGAATATATGGGGTGATTTTTTGACCACCGATCCCACAAGGGATTGTTCAACCCACAAGCAGGGCGGTATAAATCAAAGGCTGCTATTCAGGCCGGCTAACAATAAACGATACTATGGAAAACCTCGCAGCAGAGGAGGGGGAAGAGATTGAGCCCTGGTTTGTTACCACACCCACACACACACCCACAATTTTCGCTTACCTGCAAAATAAACGTTACAATGCCATTGATCACCCACGCCACACATTCCCATGCATCCATCCATTGAACCCGTGAGCCGGGGGGACGTGTATATAAAGAGTACATAGAAAGGGCGATGTATGCGAATGGCTCTCCGCGCTCTATGCGTTCGGTTCGAGAAGGCACGTACATACATGTACATCCATGGGGCGGAGACTGGGAGGAGGCGGGATTTTGCAGGGCGGAAAGTTCTAGAACCCTCCTTGCATCGCACAGAGGGGTTAGCTACTTGGTACTGCGCTGCAGCTTGTTTCCCGCCACCACTGGATATTCCGGGGCTTACTAGGGACCCGGTAGGCAGGTAGTATGCAGGTCTGTAGGTCTGTAGGTCTGTCTGTCTGTCTGTCTGTCTGTCTGTAGGTCTGTAGGTCTGTCTGTCTGTGTATGTGGAAGGGACTTTATCTCTATAGGCCAGGAGGAATGAGAAGCTCTCCTCCGCACGTGGGAGGTTTCGGCGGGGGAAGAAGCTATGGGGATTCCGGACTCCCCCTGCACCCGGGATGCGCTGCTCTGTCGACGAGTGGTGGAAGCCATGCATCAGAAGGAAGAGGGTTATCCCCCCCGCTGTGTGGTTTTCAAGAGCAGTGAGGTAACAACTCACTCTCTTGCCGGTGTCAGCTGCAGGCGGTAGTGGATGGTTCTGGAAGACCAGGGCTCCAAGCTGGGCTCCGCTTTGGGACTAGCGCGGGTCGTGGGTGATGGAAATCTGTGGAAGGTTCGCTGGGGGAGGTGGAAAGGGAAGGAACCCCCTTCTCGCGCCCGCCTATTTATTAGGGAAGGAGCACTGGGGGTGTTTTTTCGTCTTCTCCTTGTTTGCGCCTTCCGTTTCCCAAGCAGCTGCTTTCTTTTTATTTGGTCGGGCTCTTTCCTCTTCTCACCCCTTCGCTCTTCTTCTTCTTCTTCTTCTTCTTCTTCTTCTTCTTCCTTCTTCTCTTCTTCTTTCTTCAACAACGCAAATCTCTCCACCTCCTCCTCCACCTCCTCCTCCTCCTCAACTTCATCTCTTCTTCATCAATCTCTCTACTCTAGAACCACCATAGTTTCAAGTCCTATCTATCCACCACGCTTGCAATACTGGCCAGCTTGCGAATCTGCAATTCTTTCACTGTAAGTGGTTGTGTTGTTATTCCCTACCCTCCACCCCAACCACCCTCACAATAAACAGAAACAGCTTTGTTTCCACGCCCTATTTAAACCCCTTCGTCCCCTCCTCTCTCATCACCCACCAATAGGGTCAAACGGAAATAGAAAGTGGAGCTAGATTAAAAGGAGCAGAACACATCGATTGCCTGCAGATGGAAACCTCTGTTGTCGTGTTTTTTTCCAAAAAAAAAAAAAAAGAAAAAAAAAGAAAAAAATCTTTGGCTTTTTAAACAAAAGAAGCTAACCTGGTGCTGGTGGCAGGACACACAACACCCATCCTCACAGCAGCCATGGCGTCTGAGACCTTCGAATTCCAGGCTGAGATCTCTCAGCTCCTCTCCCTCATTATCAACACCGTCTACTCGAACAAGGAGATCTTCCTGCGAGAACTCATCTCCAACTGTTCCGATGCCCTCGACAAGATCCGCTATGAGGCCCTCTCCGACCCCGGCAAACTCGACTCCAACAAGGATCTCCGCATCGATATCATCCCTGACAAAACAAACAAAACCCTCACCATCCAGGATACCGGTATTGGTATGACCAAAGCTGTATGTATTCCCCCAGATTGAAGTTGTTAAATTGGAGATTTGTTCTCTTTTTTCTTTTTTGTGGAAGCTTTTCAATTTTCTGCCAAGAAAAAAAATTTAAAAGTAAAAAAAAAATATAAAAATACTGACATTTTTCCCATTTTCAGGACCTCGTCAACAACCTGGGTACTATTGCCCGCTCTGGCACTAAGCAATTCATGGAAGCTCTCACCGCTGGTGCCGATATTTCTATGATTGGTCAGTTTGGTGTCGGCTTCTACTCTGCCTACCTCGTGGCCGACAAGGTCACCGTCATTTCCAAGCACAACGATGACGAACAGTACATCTGGGAGTCCAGCGCCGGTGGCACCTTCAAGATCACCCAGGATACCGATGGAGAGTCCCTTGGCCGTGGAACCAAGATGATCCTGCACCTCAAGGACGAGCAGACCGAGTACCTGAACGAGAGCAAAATCAAGGAGGTCGTCAAGAAGCACTCCGAGTTCATCTCCTACCCCATCTACCTCCATGTCGTGAAGGAGGTTGAGAAAGAGGTCGTCGATGAGGATGCTGAGGAGGTCAAAGATGAGGACGAAGACAAGGCTCCCAAGGTCGAGGAGGTTGATGATGAGGAAGAGGAGAAAAAGAAGGAAAAGAAGACCAAGAAAATCAAAGAGAGCAAAATTGAGGAGGAAGAGCTTAACAAGACTAAGCCCATCTGGACTCGCAACCCTGCTGATATCACTCAGGAGGAATATGCCTCTTTCTATAAGACTCTGTCCAAGTAAGTTTTTTGTTTCCCCCCCAACCCTACGGTATCATAATCACTATGTACTTATCATTGCTAACCAACCAATTAGTGACTGGGAGGACCATCTTGCTGTCAAGCACTTCTCCGTTGAAGGTCAACTCGAGTTCCGCGCCATCCTCTTCGTGCCCAAGCGCGCTCCTTTCGACCTCTTCGAGACCAAGAAGACCAAGAACAATATCAAACTCTACGTTCGTCGTGTCTTCATCACCGATGACGCCACTGATCTCATCCCCGAATGGCTCAGCTTCATCAAGGGTGTCGTCGACTCTGAGGACCTTCCTCTCAACCTTTCTCGTGAGACCCTCCAGCAGAACAAGATCATGAAGGTCATCAAGAAGAACATTGTCAAGAAGACCCTCGAGCTCTTTACCGAGATCGCCGAAGACCGTGAGCAATTCGACAAGTTCTACTCTGCTTTCAGCAAGAACATCAAGCTCGGTATCCACGAGGATGCTCAGAATCGCCCTGCCCTTGCTAAGCTCCTCCGCTTCAACTCCACCAAGTCCGGCGATGAGACCACGTCCCTTGCCGACTACGTCACCCGCATGCAGGAGCATCAGAAGCAAATGTACTACATCACCGGCGAGTCTCTCAAGGCTGTCCAGAAGTCCCCCTTCCTTGACACCCTCAAGGAGAAGAACTTCGAGGTTCTCTTCCTCGTCGACCCCATTGATGAGTATGCCATGACCCAACTCAAGGAATTCGACGGCAAGAAACTCGTCGACATCACCAAGGACTTTGAGCTCGAGGAAACCGACGAGGAGAAGAAGACGCGCGAAGCCGAAGAGAAGGAATTCGAAGGCCTTGCCAAAGCCCTCAAGAACGTCCTAGGCGACAAAGTCGAGAAAGTAGTCGTCTCTCACAAATTAATTGGCTCCCCCTGTGCCATCCGCACTGGCCAATTCGGCTGGTCCGCGAACATGGAACGGATCATGAAAGCCCAGGCCCTCCGCGACACATCCATGAGCTCTTACATGTCTTCCAAGAAGACATTCGAAATTTCCCCGCGCTCCCCCATCATCAAGGAACTCAAGAAGAAGGTCGAAGCGGATGGCGAGAACGACCGTACTGTCAAGTCTATTACGCAGTTGCTCTTTGAGACCTCGTTGCTCGTCTCTGGATTCACTATTGAGGAACCCGCTGGCTTTGCAGAGCGGATCCATAAGCTTGTTTCACTTGGATTGAATGTTGATGAGGAATCAGAGAAAGAAGGGGGGGATAGTACGGATAAGGAGGCTGCGCCTGCTGCGGCTGAGTTGGCGGGTGAGAGTGCAATGGAGGAGGTTGATTAGGTATGGTGATGTTTGTGGTTGTTTTTTGTTGCCATTTGTTGGGTGGTTTGGTTGGTAGTTTTTGAGCGTCATGGCGGCGATGATGAGATGACCGATGAAAAACGATACATTTCCGTGCCCTCCCTTCCATCCCCCGTCCGACCCCCTACGTGTTGCTCTACACGGGTTCTTTCCTAGATGGTGAGGTAATCGCCTCATAAAGGAAAATATTTGTTTATTTGAAAGAAGTTTCCGAAAGGTATCAAATCAAGATGAAAAGAGAGGAAAAGTAAAGCATGCTGTAGCGGTTTTTTGATTTTTCAAATTTGAAGTCGAGGTTGCTGTTCCTGTTTGCAATTTTATCAAGTTAGTGTTGAATGTTGATGTCTTCTATGAATTGAATTTATTAACTATCCTTTTGCAGGTCGTGTCCAAGTTTAGTAAAAGCTTCTCTGTTTGACTGTCCCCCTTTTCCTTTTGCTTTTGTTTTTGCTTTTTCCTCTATTTGCCTTTTCCTTGATTCGGATCGTCTTTTTAAACTGCTTTTGTCTTCTCCCGTTAGGTAGGCAGGTTAGTTAATTTGAAAACAATTTCTTACACGAACACTCACTTCTCCTCGATTCTTATCATCAAGTGATGGGTAAATTGTATGTTATCTACGTGGTAGAAAACCTGCCACGGGAACCCGATGAAAAGGAAGCTTGGCTGCTAAGAACTGGAGAGGAAAAGGCAACGGGATGACAGAAGGGCGTTGCTGGGGTGTGTATGTGTGATGTGTGTGTATGTTTTGGGGGGGGTGGCTGCCCTCTTTTGTTCTTCTCCTCGCAGGGCGGGCGTAGAGCTCGGGTCCTCCCGCTTGAGTGGAATCCCGCTTTGCATGTTATATCTATCATCGCATAGGCAGGCATCTTTTGTATCTCACGTTTGAAACCTTCAGAAGTAGTGAACGCCCGCTCCTTTACTCTTACTATTACTATTACTATTACTATTACTATTCGGAATAGAGATGGATGTGAGTTTATGATTTAAGAAGTGGATAATTCTGGGTTAAGAGAGAACGTGTTGAGAACATGACTGAAATTCTGAGCTATTTAATACATTCATGAGAGAGAGAGAGAGGGAGAGGGGGAGATAGGAGTGAGTGATAGGAGGTTTAAAGTTATTAAGTTAAGTGAAAAAATTCTGACTTAAAAGTAATATTTCTTTAAAGGGAGTTGCAAAGGAGAGAAAAACATCAGTGAAAAGGAGGAATTAATTTTATTTCTGAAAAAAAAAAAAAAATAACAGTAATAATAAAGCAAGTTAAACAAGTACACAAAGCATGCCCGCTATACCCACTCTCCTATACTGAGTTTAGCTCGTCAGAGAAAAGTAAGAATGAAAGAATTTAGGATGCCAAGGCGAAAATATATCAGAGCCAGTTAAGAACTTAAGATTTGAGAACGCATGGAGCCTAGAGGTAGGAAAGAAAAATATTGTCACAGAGAAAAAGAAAATGATAGGATAATAAATCAAAAATGCACACACACACGCACACACGCAAAAAAAAAAAAAGGGGGGGGGGAGGGGAAAGGAGGGAGGGAAACAACGCTTTTTCATGTCGTAATAAAAAGAGATGGATAAGAGGAAGAAGACGGAGAGAAAAATATGAAAAAAAAAAAAGAGGAAAAAGTCTTTATCTAACTGAGTGCTGCTGATGGAGGTAGTAGGAATATGTTCTGCCAGACTTTTTTGAAAATGATAAAAATAAATATAAGAAAACGAAGTTTTTTCCAACCGCTAAGGAGGCAAGTGTAGCGCACAGGTGAAGATGAGGACTTTAGCGCAAATCGCAGGAGGTAGGGATATGTAAATGTTGGCAGGTTAGACGGGTAAACATGCAAGACATGCAGATGCGTGCAAAGAAAAAAAAATTCCCGGAAAATTAGCAAAACATCATTTAGTTTGAAAATGGGAAATCGTTAATGCAGTCAGTCAGTCCCTCACATGACTGGAGCGGAGCTTTTTAGAAAAAGACAATAAACGAGACATTGGCATTTATGCGGAGTTCGGAGTTAAGATGGAAAGTGGGAGGGCAAAATATTACATATGCTGGGAAGGGATACATGGATGGGAGTTTATGTATGTACGCGCGGGGCGCGTATCTGGGTAAGAAGAGTGTGTTGTGTTCCAAGTTCCCAGACGACGGGGTATGGGGTGGGATGGATGGGTTGAAAAGGGGCTCTTATCTGTAGTAGGTCAAGGTCAAATATCAAGTGCTGTGCGTGAGTGAGTTAAGTTAGGAACTCTGAGAGATTGATAAAATGGGAGGTGTGCAAGGCAGATAAAAAATGGGCTTGGCCCTGTAATAGTTTCCAAGCTTCTTTCCTCCACAAAAAAAGGTTCAACTTTTTATAAACCCCCCAGCTCCGCTTTCACACGGCTTGGGGTTGTCCGCTGCGTCCCTTGGGGGCGATGTTCCCACCACCACCACGGCCGCCTCGGGGGATGTAGCGGCCAGACTCGTTCTGGAAACCGCCACGACCGCCCTGGTTGCCGGAACGGCCGTCGCCGCGGCCACGGCCTGAGCCTCCACGGCCCGAACCGTAGTTGGAATTTCCACCGAAGCCACCGGGTCGACGGCGCTCAACGGTAACTTCTTCAGTGCCGATTTGGTGAGGGTTGGAGGAGAGGGCAGTTTTATAGGCGGCTACGTCTGCGAATTCGACGTAAGCGGTTCCCTGTGGGTGTTGGTTAGCGCTGGTTGGTCTTCTCTATGGGTATATATAGAAAAGGAAGGGCAGAATGGAATTGATGGTTTTAAAAGACATACGTTCTGTCTGTTCACGTTGAAGTACTTGAGCTTTCCAAATCGCGACATGACCTGTTTCAAGAGCGCTGCGTCGACTTTCTCGTTGACATTTTTGATAAGGCCGCGGGTGTTCTCCTCTCCGGCACCAGAGACGGATTGTGGTCTAGCTTGTCTTTTACTATGGTCTGTACCGGCGGTCTGCCATTCCGAACCACTGGAGCATTGGCTGGTAACGTTTTCATTGTTTCCAGCAGGAGGAGCAGCAGAGGGAGTTACCTGAGTTGGTACAGGGGCGGCCCTGGGAGGAGCAGATGCCGCAGCTTGGGTTGGAGTAACTAAGACATGGTTGGCTGGTGCTGGGGCTTTAGCACGGCTAGAGGCAATAGACGCCCAGCTCATTGGTGCCTTAGCAACCGGTGGCGCAGGCTCCTTTTCTGAAATAGGTGTGGCAGTCTTGGGAGGAGAGGCGGCAGGAGTTGATTCTGGTTCTTTGGGCTTTTCGGCCTCAAGGACCTCGGGAACTCCTGGGGGCACAGACGCTGCGGTAGCGGCTGGAGCAGGAGCGGCAGCTTCACCCTCAAGAGTTTCACCTGTGGGCTGCAGTTCAGCCTGGAGTGTTGGTTCGCTGTTGAGAGTGATCTCCTTGAGCTTCTCTGAAATTTCCTGAGCGGCAATTTCATTGTCCGCCTGCCGCTCGGGACCTACGTCTAGTGGTGTCGCTTCCTGGTCAACTGCTGTGGTAGTCGGCTCCAAAATGCCAGCTCTGCCGTCAACCTCAAGAGGAACTTCATCCTCAACGGCTTCCTCTTCTTCATCGGCCAAGTATCTAATAATATCATTTCAGAACATAATATCCATTTGGTTGCTCAGCCAGGACAAACGTCTGAATGAATTTGCGGGAAGGTTCCGATTTGTTGGAAATTTCACCAATCACGGAGAAACCAAAATGTTATCGAAGGAGGCCTGGGAGTCCACATTCAAAACGCGAACCTTGCAGTCCTGGAAATCGAGTTCTTTAATCCGTTCATTGATAGCCTAATAGATGTAATATTATATTTATTAGTAACTTTTCCTTTAGGTCTGGCTTCAAAAACAGAGTATAAATATCTTCTTTTATTTTTCAGTAACTCACCTTTTGCCCAACAGCAACAGTCACTTTCTCCGCCTCCATGCCCGAGACGAACTGAGATTTGCGAGAGTAGAAAAGGTGAAGTTTCTCCGGATTGCGACTGAGGGTGGTATAGTATTGTTCAACAAAGAACCACCCCACCTCATCCTTGGGGATATCGTTCTTGGGTTCAGGGGCTGGGGGTGCGGAGGCTGAAGAAGTCGATGGCTGATTATTATAGTTGTTGTTGGAAACGCTATTTGCAGCAGCGTGGGTAGGGTTGTAGTCATCTACGGCGTATGGATTGGCCTGTTGTTGAGTATGGTAGTTTCCGTTGACGAGAGCTGGGTTGGTAGTAACTTCGGAAGCCATGTTGGATGATTAATTGGGGACGGTGGTTTTAAAATGAGGGGTTTGTTAGAGACAGGAGGAGACTGGTAGGTTGGATGATAGCGAGGTTGAAGAAGCGGTGGGAAGCAGATCCAAGGAGCGGATATGAGTAGATTTCAGAGATCAGCAGGCCGTGGGGATGGAGCCGTGAGTAAAATGAGTCGTGGTGAGGAAAAGTGGAGAGAATAAGAAGAAGCTGTTATAAGAGGATCTACAGGTTAGCTTCATGTATTCGATAGAACACCTGTAGAGGTTGGGACGTACTTAAGATAGTGAAGAAAGAAGAATTGCGAAGGAAAGATCTGATTAACAAGGCCACGGCGAGAACTTACACGACACGTCTAAAATGTACACAGAGTCACGAGTAGGAAAGGCTATACGATAGAAAAGACGATTAAATAAAACGGAAGAAGAAAATAATTTTTTCAAGTCTCTTACTTTATGAAAGGAGAGAAACTTTGGAATGAGGGAAGAGGGGAGAGACAAGAAGGCGACAAGTCAGCAAAGACAGAGGACCGGTAACAAGGCTATGAAGGCAGGGGAGCTTTTGAATGGAGGATGGATGAAATGGAAGCTGGATAAACTTGGTAAGAAAGAGAAAAGTGGTGGTGGTGGTGGTGGTGGTGGTGATGATGATGATGATGGTGTGGTGGTGGTATGTGTTTGTGGCGGGAGGTTGAGGTTGAGGTTGAAGAAAAGGAGTGTGCACTTTTTTGGGTTAGGGCAGAGACCAAACTCTGGGAAGGAAGATTTCTATATTAACGTACGAATCCAACCAACCAGCCATCGACCTCGCTCTTTTCGCCCCTCAAGTGCCCAACTTCAACCACCCACCATGGCGCTCAATGAAGAGGCTGTACAGTCTGAAGTTTTGAACAGACTTTGCTCAGGTTGCAAGAGAATTCAGGATCGATTGAATGACATTGATGCAGCACTATAAAGACAAGTAAGTATTCTAAGCAAAGATAATTTCAATTAGTTTCTCATCAATATTAAAGAATATTATTTACTATTTTATATAAATTATCTTGCAGATCATAACTTCTTAATAATATCTTAAATACTATAAATTTTGATAATTGAAATTACAAAATTAAGTATAAAAATTAATTAAATATATTATTATTATTAATATTATAAAATTAAAATTAAATATATATTTTTTAATAATTAATTTAAAAAATAATAATTAATATAATATTTATATAATTATTTAAATTTTTATATAATTTTTATTTATATTTATATATAAATAATATAAATAATATAATAATTTTATAATATTTATTATAAAGATATTTTAAATTTAATTTAAAAATTAATATTTAAAAATAAAAATAATAAAAATATATTAAATTGATTTTTTAATATAATTTATAATAATTATATTTATTTATTATTAATAATTTAAATAATATATTTTTTAATTACTATATAACTTTTATAAAATTTTTTAAAAAAATATACTAATATTAATAAAAAGTTATATATTTAATTTATTATAAAATTTATTTTATAGTATTTTGCTTTTTTCACTTTAAATATCTTCATTTCACTTTATTTATATTTAATAAAAAACTCTACATCTTGACATGAAATTAGATTTTCTCAAAAGTCACGATCTTCACCTATCTCTTACACACTGTAATATTTTCTCTTCTGTCATCCATTTTAAAGCCGCCTGTGCTTAGGCATTATGCAGGTAACATAGTACATACACATGCATCCCCTTAAGGGGGTGGGTAAAATAAGGCTGCATACAGACAGCTACATTTTAAATCCTGAATGGGGATTGGTTCCCCTTGAGCTCAAAAACTCATTGAACCTCGGGAGATAGAAAGAACACATGTGGGCAATATTCTCATCAGCCGCAAAAAGAAACACTGTCATGTTGTCATGGGAAAACTAAACCGTTTCAAAAAGCTAAAGCTAGACATGATAAATAAATATAGCTAGCGGGAAACACACTCTGGAGATAATGATATAAGTTAAGGTAGCTAAACATGTCCCAGATGAGACCAAAATCACTAAACACCATAAAATCTGAAAAGGAAGAAGGGGTAATACTAGAATAAACATGGCACCATCATGCATGCATTTTGCAATCTCGCAAGTGACAGACCAGATCCAGAATGTAGTATAAGAGAGGGAGGGAGAAACTGGGGAAAGGACTAACCCGGGGGGGGGGGGGGGGGGTGTTAAGGTGGAGAAAAGCTCCCGCAAAACGATCTTAGAAAACTGATATGTGCAAGTTCAAGTCAAGCAACATGCCATGAAACGCCCTAATGAAGAGAAGAAGCAAAAGCGAGAAGACCCAGAGGTACTCGTAGATATAACATAACAGGAGGAGAGTAGGATATTGGAAATTGGAAATACACAGGTAGAGAGCATCGATGAAGAACAGGAGGTACTTGGAAACGCGGTGGAAAATTGGCATGGGGAATACATAGTTGGGCAAACAGTGGGACATTAGAGCCAGTTAAAACTGTAAAGAAATAAAGAGGACAAACGTTTAGAAATCCAGTCTTCCATCATCATGTAAGGGTCCAGGAGAGGAGTCATTCATCCAACAAGAGTTGGCGGTGGAGTTAAATAAGCCACGAAAGCCAAATAAAAATAAAACATAAAAAGTAAAAAGAAAAGATCAAAAGATGGGGGAAAAAAAATAATAAAAAATAATAAAAAATAAAAAATAGTTGCAGAGAGGAAAAAGCAATTCCCCCCTCTAAGAAGCCGCCTCCAATTTAATCGCCTGCTTCTCCTCCGTCGGAGTCCGCTTGCGCATCACAGCGTCCTGGCTAGACATCCTCCTGCCCAACGCCCGCTCGACCTTCGCACCAAGCGCGAGCTTGTTGAGGTCATCCGTTTTCTCTGGGGTGGGCACGAATCGCTGCTGGGTGAGGGGTTTGTTCTCGAGGCGCTCGAGGCCGGCGCCCAGTTCTTTGATTTCAGCCAGACGGCTGTCGCCGGTCATTGTGCTGGAGATAGTGTGGTCCGAGGGCGCGAGGGAGCCCGTCCCGCTGATTGCGGAGAAGCGCTGGGAGCTGTGGTGGGAGGAGACCTGTTTTTTTCCCGGTGGGGGGTTGGGTGGTTTAGTATGTTTGTTTCGTGGCTGGGAGGGCCGCGGAGGAGGAGGAGGAGGAGCGGTAGTGGTGGTGGCAGAAGTAGCAGCAGGAGTAGAGGGTGGGGGAAGAGAAGAGCCCTTGGAAGAGCGGAGGGAGGAGTTATAATATCGGAAGGAGATTTGAGGGAACCATACTGAGGGAGCCATGATTGGCCGTTGGGAATCTAGAGACTGCTGTCTAGCCATTCTGGACTGAAGGGATCTAGAAGAAAAAGAAGGGGGAGGGGGGTATGTCAGTTAATAAATACGCCCTTTTGTCAAGCGGAGGGGGCATTTCTGCTGGCCTGACTCTGGACGTACTCTCCAAAAAAAGAATGGATTTCCAATGCGTTAACGAAGGCGGGGAGTGAGCACAGGGCCAAGTCAATGTCCTGTGTTTTCTTTTTCTACCTGCTTTTCGGGCCCTTTTTTTTTTTTTTTTTTTTGGCATGCGGGAGGTTCGAGCGTGATTGGGGATCGAGTTTTGAGGATCTGGTAAAGTATGTACTGTAGTACCACAGGAATCAGCAAAAGATTGTCTGGCGACGTTGTTCAATCAGTGGAAAGGGCAGGTATCCTGGGTGGCATGAATTATAGACACTGATATTTTGATCAATCCTGCATTGGCTGCGCGCTCAAACAAAATAGAGGCAAGGAAGCCCAATCCGGTCGCAAAAAACCGTATTTATCGAAGGGATGGCAGGGAGATTTGGCTGACGACTTACTTGGAACGATGGCAGCAGAAATCGACGATGGGAGGAGTACGAGGCGCTGGATCGTCACGGGCTCCCTGAGACCAGGTAACAGGTAACTATCGGGTGGCCGGGTGGCCTGATATGGGTGGGGGTAAAGGGCTCTTTAGTACAGCAGCGTGCGAGCGGCTGGAGAATATAACTAACGATGGAAGCGGGAGGAGATGGCTTGTGTGGTGTCGAGGCTGTTAGCTGGATGTTGGCACGAGGCAGCGTGTCAGTCCGAAGTTACCAACCAACCCACTAACTTAAAAGGACGATATAATAGTAGGTAACTAGTTATAGTTAAAATAGAGAGACAATGCTACGTACAGCTTATTACGAAGGAGCCCTGGCCCTGCGCAGCAGAATCGCTGGGGCGTTTCGGACGTGGGTGGTGGTACTGTATCGCCGTGACAGAGCTATCAGTACTCTTATTTTTATTCTTATTTTACTCTTGTTTTAAACTCTTTAGTTTACTCTTGTTTGCTGGCCAGTTAGTGACTTGTTATCTGCTTCAGTCTTCAGGTCATTTCCAGGACGGCGGCTTTTGGATAGATCCAATTTTGCCCTTGGGTTCCTGGCTAGACTAATGACCTTCCGCGGCGAGTCCACTCACTGTGGATGGAGCAGAGAGCGCGGCAGCCCGCCGGGAGGAATCTCCAAAATAAAGCCACACTTCTTTAATTAAGAGGAGCACCGACAGAATGGGCGCGTCTTCATGAGCGTACTCGTCAGTTAATAATAATCAATCATACGGCATTTCCCCGAATAAAATACTCCCATCGAATCAACTCGTTTTTCCACTTCATCATCCTCCGCATAATAAGTTCCGGGGGTTCCGTTGGTTTTTTGATCCGAGTACAACAGTTGATGGTTTCCAAGGACTGCGGAACTAGTTAACTAGTTGGTTGGTTATTGTGCAAGTTGGTCAACTAGCTACCTATCCTCGCCGCACATCCATCCAGTTCGGATCTTCCGTAACTTCCTGCATTTCGACCAAACCGAGTTCCGTTGCCTAGCTAGTTACTTATTATGTAGCAACCGGTTGCACTGCGGTGACACCATCGCCCCCAAAGCAATCTTGATATATATATATAAATAAATAAACAAATAAAAAAGAAAAAAAAGAAAGAAAGAAAGGCCCTTTTGTTTGCAAGCACATGGCATGCCATGCTGCATGCAGGGGAATAATGGCTGGCTTTCCAAGTTTTCCATGGCGCATTCCGGGCTGGGAATCCGCTCCCGGCTCCACAGCTCACCACCACGTGTGCATCCTGACATTTTGGAGCAGATCCTCCCCCCCAATGATAATACAGTTAGTCGCTCTGCTTAAGTTGCTGGTGTTATCATCGATTATTCCATACAGTGCCTGTTGTGGGTCGGGGAGAGCACGTCCCAAGTCCCAGCCTTGGGGGTCCGGACTCCGCGGGCAAAATAACCAGCAATCGCAATACGGAATATTATCTTCACTTTTCCAAGGTCCTGCTTTTCAATTCTCCCCTCTACGGAGTAACATCGCAAGACCCCCCACATTCCCATCGAAATGAATAAAAACATGCCCCATGGCCACCATGCGAGAAGATGGGGGGAACAAATCTTCGCGTCCATATCTCAGCAAAAATGTTGTATCTAGGGCTCCTCTCTTGGCTGGAACTACGTCACTCAATCACTGATCGGGCTTCAATCGGTGTATATCAGGGCTCGTATGAAGCTTAGAAGCCCAATCAATCTTCAAAATACAAAGTACAACCTCCACCTCTGCTTCCAAATGCCTTTGCAATAGAATCGGGTGCTGATGGCTATTCTCTAAACTGGCAAGCAGTAGGTAAGAGAAGAGAATGCGACTTTGATTGTAATATTGTTTTCTTGAATATGTTCTCCTATACGGATGTAGCCCCGCGAAATATTCTGGATGAGGGGACAGAACGAAAGGGAGTGAAGCAGGAAGAAGAATCGCTTCAATCCGGGGTTAAATGAAAAAGATACTGCAGCGTAGTGAGCATAATGACAGCGACGGTCGTCAGATCATTGTATCCGTCCCGCATTTCCGGTGTGATTGTTGCAGCAAGTAACTATGGGCAACCTCGGCTTCGAGCCAGTTGTTGCCAATCCCCAATCAATCAACCCAGTCACTAAATTCCATTCTCATAGCCTGTTGACTATTATCCCACCCATATAGTTAACTAAGTGGTGGAATGTAGAACCGTTTTTGATTTGATAGTAACCATATCGTCCTCTTGTGCGACCGAAAAGACAGACAGCAAAAGGTCAGTGAACCAAAGCAGGATTTGTTCTGCAGCATCAAAACCGGCCTGGGGGCTTCCTTCTTCTCTGCCACGATGACATATCTAGGGCTGAGATCCGCGAGATAAAGATATTTGCTCGTACGGAGTGCACTAGTTAGGGGCTTTCGTAGTTGATCGCTAATTTCACCATCTCTTGGCGAGCAGCCCAGCGCGAGGGAACTTTTCTGGATATGGAACGTAGACAGAAACACTATACACACGAACCCCGTGGGTAGTTCTAGTGCCCGTCCAGATCCATAAGCCCAACCTCCTCATCGAAGCCAAAGAGGGTCGTATGTTTCGGCCGCCAATTTCCCATGGACTGGCAGCAGACACGATTAGCATTAGGATTAGTATTAGGATTATGCCCAGCCTCAAGAACCTCGACAGTGAAGACTTGAGAGAATCGACACATCCTCCCCCCCCCCCCCCCCCCCCCAATCGCAAAGCAAATATGACTCAAGTAGTAGACAGAATCCATGTCCAAACCAAAACTGTTGATATGAATCGTAAAATCCACGCCGGAGGGGGGGGGGGAGGCCAGGTCCAAAAACTCCGAGGGGGTTCTCGGGTACGCACGACTAAAACTGAGGGTACTGACGAGCTTGCCACCGAGAAGTAATCAGTTGGGGCATGGACGGAACCCTTTTTAATGACAGGATATTGTTGTTATATAGTGTACTAGATGGAGAAATAATGCTGGGGGCGGAGGAGGGAGGACTACGGGGCGCGTAGCGTTGTTGTTATTCTCTCGTTGAAGAGA